AAAAAAATTCCCCGGCTCATAAAAAAAACAATTTTTTTATAGGCGGGGGGGCCCCCCCCCCCCCCCCCAGCCCCCATCGCCACATTCCTGTTCATATATTTCTTTTTAAAACTGTATGATCCAATTATTGTCTCTTTCAGAACTCCTGCTCGTATTGGGAAGGTGATAATACTCGTGAATCATTACAACGAATCTATGGCATATCGTTTCCCGATCCAAAACAATTGAAACAATGGAAACATTTACAAGAAGAAGCAGAGAAGCGAAATCATCGGAAAATTGGCGTTGAACAAGATTTATTTTTTTTTCATCCATTAAGTCCGGGTAGTTGTTTTTTTTACCCAAAAGGTGCTTATATTTACAACAAGCTCATTGAATTAATTAGAGTAAGGAGGGTTCAAATAGTCATTGATAAATATTTATTTTATAATTATTTTTTCTTTAAGAGTGAATATCGTAAACGCGGTTATCAAGAAGTTATAACACCAAACATGTACAATTCTAAACTATGGAAACAATCTGGTCACTGGGATCATTACGCTGTATGTGTATTCCTTGAACATGACCTCTTTTTTCTATTCGTCTTTTTTTTACTTTTAGGAGAATATGTTTCAAACAGAAATTGAAAAGGAATTATTTGCTCTGAAACCAATGAATTGTCCTGGACATTGGTATGTTCACTCATAATTAGTGAAAAGATCTATTTTCTCATTTAAATCTTCATTTGGATGTTTCCTAATAAAGATTGTAGAAACAGAACACAGGAAATACACATGTGCTTTTCAAAATCTTTGGTTCTATAAAAATTAAATATAAAAGTCCTTTAAAAACTATACCTAATGTTGAACATCATAAAAAGTAGAATTTTCTCTCTTTGATTCGTCATGTTAACATGAAATGAGGATTCTTCTGTTTATCTCTAGTTTGATGTTTGCATCCCGTTTACGTTCGTGGCGTGAATTACCATTAAGATATGCTGATTTTGGCGTATTACACCGTAATGAACTATCAGGTGCATTAAGTGGATTAACACGTGTTAGAAGATTTCAACAAGATGATGCACACATATTTTGCATGCAATCTCAGGTATAATCTCTTTAAAATGGTAGAAATAACGACACTTTCCTGTCTTCATCTGAAGTATATAAATAGTTGACTACTATTAGAAATTCTTCAGTAGTAACTAACTTTATGTAAGGATATGTAAATACATTAATACTTTTGTAAATACATTTTGAGCATAATTTGAAATCTTGTTTTCTTGATCTTTGTTTATTTTAGATAAAAAGTGAAATCCAAAGTTGTTTAGACTTTTTGAAACATATCTATGGTGTATTTGGTTTTTCATTTGAATTGAAATTATCTACGAAACATTCAAGTTTTCTAAATCAAATAAAACAGTGCGATTATTATAGATAGAAGCACATTATATCAAGAGATCAATTTCATTCAGCTAAAAAAATTCTGTTGTTTTCTCTATAAACAAGCATATTGGATGGTATTGTGAATCGACATGCATCGAACAGAGATGTTAACCGCGGTGCTGTCACCAAGTAGGAGACAGGCTAATATAATCAGCATCAAATAAATGATTAGGAATAACTCAATGGAAAAGCAATAGATTTATATATATGTGTTCTATTACTGTCACGCTTTTACTTTTATTAACGTAAATAAAACCATACTCGATATATATAAAATGCTGAGTTGTGTTTGAGTGTCAACATAAACAATTTAAAAAATGCCCTAAATACACCGAGTTTAAAAAGTAATGAAAATAAAAAATTGTTCAAATAAAAAGCCTAAATTTTTAGTTTTTGTTCCATCTCTTCATTGAGACTTTCTTTTTCTTCTTTTGCATCGCTAAGATCCTTTGACATTGTTGTGTGAGTTGATGGTGATTTAGTTGCAGAGGAATTTGGTGAAAAATCATCTTCAGCATGATTTGTACGAGATGAGGCTAATTCACCAAAACGTTTAATAACATCATTCAATGGAAATTCACCATGCTGTTTACCGTCACGTGTGCGAACATTTACTGTGCCGTTTGCTTTTTCTTGCTGACCAACCACTGGAATTAGAGAAAAATAAAACATTTTTTCTTTAAAAAAAGCAAAAAACTACTAACCCAAAATAAAATTAAATTGTGCCAATTGGTTATTACGAATCTTTTTATTGAGCATGCTACCGGGATCTAGATCCGCTTCAACTTGAAATCCAGCATTCCATAATTTTTGTTGTACTTCAATGGCATATTCATCTAAAGCTGATACAACAGGCACAATAGCGGCTTGTCTAGGAGATAACCAAAATGGCCTTGAAGAAAATAAGAGAAAAATAGTAAAAGATAATTGTGACAATATTGACAAACATACCATTTGCCACCAAAAGACTCTGTCAATATTGCTAACATTCGTTCAATAGAGCCAACCATCGCTCGGTGGATAATGACAGGTGTTTTAAGTTTTTTCGTTGGATCGTCTGTATCATCATCTCTACAAAAAAAAAAGAAAAAACGTCTTTCTTTCTTTTTAAAACAATTACTTCTCAAATTCATACGTCTGATATTGCAATTCAAATCTCAGTGGTAATTGAAAATCGAGTTGAATTGTTGCACATTGATGAGAACGTTGAAGTGCATCTTTAATTGTAATATCAATTTTTGGTCCATAGAATGCACCATCACCGGGATTTAATTTCCATGGATAACCAAA